AGACTGAATGCAGGGCTTCCTAAGAGTTTCTGGGCAGAGGCTGTGAACATGACATGCTATCTCATCAATAGATCGCCTCGAGCATCATTGGATGGCAAGGTCGCTGAAGAGGTATGGACAGGTAATCAAGTTAAATTTGATCTTTTACAAATTTTTGGTGTCCTACTTATATGCTGCTTATGTGCATGTACCTTGCATGTACCTGGAGATTAAAGATCCAAACTTGATGCAAAATCCAATAAGTGCATCTTTCTGGGCTACAAGAAAGGTGTGAAAGGATACAAGTTTTGAGATCAAATTGCAAAGAAGATGGTGATAAGCAGAGATGCAATTTTTGATGAGCAGTTTATGTTACAGCAGAATCAAGACAAGGTGTCAGGGAATAGTTCCAGTTCAGATGCAGTGCAGATGGATTTAGAACAACAACCAGTAGCTTCTGAGAGAGGTGAAAGTTTAAATCCAACACCTGGAAATTCTATTCGAGATGATCTGTAGAATTACAATCTAGTCAGAAATAGACAGAGACGCACCAATGTAAGACCTCTTAGCAGATTGGGTTATGAAGACTTGGTCTCTTGTGCACTTCTCATCAACATCAATGATCCAACCACTTTTCAAGGAGCTATCACTAGCCAGGAGAAAGAAAAATGGATGGGTGCAATGGTTGAAGAGATGGAGTCTTTGCAGAAAAATCGCACTTGGGAGCTAGTTCAGCTTCGAGAGGGAAAGAAGGCAATTGGGTGCAAATGGGTCTACAAAAGAAAACCAGAAGTATCAGAAAAAGAAGGGAAAATGTTCAAGGCTCGACTGGTTGCAAAGGAATTTTCACAGCATAAGGGGATAAATTATGATGAAATCTTTTTGCCTGTGGTCAGACATACTTCAATCAGGGCAGTGCTTGCATTAGTAGCTATTTTGGAATTGCATTTGGAGTAGATGAATGTTAAAACTACTTTATTGCATGGTGATTTGGAGGAGCAGATTTACATGGAGCAGCCAGAAGGGTTCACTCAACCTGGACAGGAGCATCTGATTTGCAGACTAAGGAAATCGCTGTATGGGTTGAAACAGTCTCCAAGACAATGATACAAGCGCTTTGACTCTTACATGATTCAGATTGGCTACAGACGATGTGAGTATGATTGCTGTGTTTATGTGAAGAGCCTTGATGATGGTTCTATTATTTTTCTGTTATTGTATATTGATGATATACTAATTGCTTCAAAGAATATGAATGATGTCCGTTGTTTGAAAGCTTTATTGAGCCAGGAATTTGACATGAAAGACTTGGGATCTAAGAAGAAGTTTCTTGGAATGGAGATTCATCGAGACAGAGGCTCAAGACGGTTATGTCTATCTCAACGAGGCTATGTTGAGAAAGTGCTGGAAAAGGTTTGAGATGAGCAATGCAAAGCCTGTGAGCACTTCTTTGGCAAATCATTTTAATCTTTCTTCAGAACAGTGTCCTAAGACTGATACAGAAATTGAAGACATGACAAATGTTCCATATGCCAGTGCAGTTGGCTGCTTGATGTATGTTATGGTATGTACTCGTCCTGATTTGACTCATGTTGTTAGTTAAGTCTGCAAATACATGGCTAAACCTGAAAGGCAACATTGGAAAGCAGTCAAGTGAATTTTCAGGTATTGCCCCCCTACTTTTAACTAGAACCACAACGACCAATGAATATGACACCATTGGTGTGGTAGATGCCAATCTAACTCTATAAGAAATTGGAAGAAACAAAACGACAGTATCCCTAGACCAAACCTAGACGCTTGAATTCTCTTACAATTCCCAATATAAGAAAAATAAATTATATGCGGAAGAGATAGTGCTACAAATGAGAAATCAGTTAGAAAATGTTATGGTATGACTCATATACCATATAGGGACAGACGCTGGATCGAAGCGGAGCGGAGCGAAAGAATCTGTCCAAATTGAAAAGTTACGTGGGTTGGGGTGCGGGGGCAAAGCCCCGCGGTATGTTACAGGGGTAATGTTGTAATTACATATTGTGACTTGTTGAACCTTCTGGGGAGATACTGTTGCAGAATGTTCATATTGATGAGAATGCAACTGATATGTTGACCAAGTCGGTCACTATCAACAAGTTCTTGCATTACTTAGACTTGTTGAATGTTTGCAGTTGCTAGAGAAACATGGTGGCCCAACCCACAGTGGTGCAGGTGTAACTCTCAGGTATTTTTCTCCTAAGGGGTTGGATAGTCGCCAAGGTGGAGATTTGTTATCGTATGGCTCATATACCATATAGGGACAGACGTTGGATCAAAGCGGAGTGGAAGAATCTGTCCAAATTGGGAAGTTACGTGGGTTAGGGTGCGGGGGCAAAGCCCCGTGGTATGGTACAGAGGTAATACTGTAATTACATATTGTACCTAGGGTTTACTCCTGGAGTTATAAATAGGCCTGTTAGTAACCCCAGGAGGTATCCCTGAATTCTTTAACCTCTTTTCTGAATAGTGAAAGGAACTCGCCGCTCTGCTCCCGAGGACGTAAGCATCTTTGCCGAACCTCGTTAAATCTCTGTGTTCTTCTGGATTTATGTCGTTCCTATTTTTATTCGCCCTAATTTTCTAAACATATTTATTAATGATTTGTCTTGATACTGCAATAATTTTTCACACTTGGAGGGGTTAAAGTATATGTAGTACATGTCATTCCTAAACCACTAAACATGGTCATCACCCCTTAAAAATCAAGAATTACAATAATGAAGCATCACAAAACGAAGTCCCCATGACTATTCCTGCGTCCAGATGCGGGAAACAAAATGCATATCATACACTATTTAAAAACTTACAAAGATTGCAACATCAAACAAGTTTATGCAAAATCACATCCCAATAATGATATCTGATCTCCATCCACTAAGCATTCATGCAGAACAAAATTAAGAAGGTATGTGAAGGGAGCATGGAGCATACTTACCTTGATCTGGAAGGGAAGTGAGGCTTGATGCTTCAAGTGACGGTGGAAGAAGGAGCGTAGGAAGCAGGGGCTTCGTGAGGGTGCTTGATGCTTCGAGGGTGGTCGGCGCTTCGCGAGAAGATCCAGAGCGACTGACGGGCGAGGAAGCGAGTCAGAAAATTCTTCTCCTTCAGCTTTGCAAGACTCTGGGCAGGGGCGGCTTCATGAAACGAGGGGCAAAGGGGCATTATTTGATCTCGCGGCCTCGCGTTCTGCCAAATTCGCGGGGGCCGCCGCAAGATTCAAACGGCTATATCGGGTGATTAACCACGAAGCATTCAGTGCCAAGTAGGATTTCATAAACTCAAATTTGTTAAATTTATTATTTTTAATTGAATTTACTATATCTGAATTTAACATAGATCGACCTTAGAAATGAGAACTTAAATTCAAAATTTTTATAAATTCATTAAACTTTTATATTTTTTTGTGTTTTTCAGGATTTATAAATCATGAGCCAAACACCCACTTACTATTTTAATATATATTAATAAAGTATTTTGCTTTAAAATCTGTCCTATTATGTGAGCTTATAAAAGTGAACCAAATAAATAAATAAATAAATAAAATAAAATAAAACATTCGGGTAGTAACAAAATAATACATATTAATTTTGCCACAAAATGAAAAAAAAAACATGGCGTGTGAATGGAAGAGACCGCTGAGTCAGACAAAATAATACATATTAATTTTGCCACAAAATGAAAAAAAAACATGGCGTATGAATGGAAGAGACCGCTGAGTCATTAAAAATATTGAAATAAGTAACATACCAGGAGTAATGATTATGCAGTTGAAATAATAGAAAAATTTCTCAATAAGCAATTAATGCCCTGCGCCGAAGCACGCATGTGAAATGCGTGCAAAGCCACACCTTTCACCTATAAATGCCACCAAAACACAGCAGCACAATCATAAGATATCAGCCATGGCCGCCTTCCCTCGCCCAGTTCATTTCCTGAATTTTATTCCCTTCCTGATTGTCTTACTGTCAGCAAAGGCAGACACAAACGTTCTGCTAACAGGGCAGACCCTCGGCTTCCTAGACAAGCTCAGCTACGCCAACACCGGCGTCAGTTTAACATTGCAGTTTAACTGTGACCTCGTTTTGTATGACAGTCATGGCAAATTGGTGTGGCACTCCAACACTGGCGCCTTCTTCTTCCGCTACTGCAACCTCGACTTCACTGAAAATGGCCGCCTTGTGCTCCGGGACTCGTCGGGCGGCCAACAATGGATCAGCCCCAACTCCAATTCTCAGCCCGGCAAATATGTCGCTGTCCTCCGCCCTGGTGGCCAGGTGCAAGTCTACATCTTTACGATTTGCAAAAACTTGTTTTGCTATCTGACCAAAAAAAAAAAAAAACTCTGTTTTTCTATGCTCTTAGCTCTCTGTTTTCGGCCCGGCGGTCTGGGGCGTGGGAGACGGGAATAACAGCAATCAGATGGTGTCATATACGGAAAACTTGCGTAAAAGTTCAGTGGTTTACAACGTTCTGTTCTCCGGCCAGGTACTGTACCGCAACGACGAGCTCTCGGACAATGGACATAGGTTCGTGATGACAGAAGATTGCGAGCTGATTCTTCAGAATAGCGGCGGGGTGATGTCTTGGAGTACGTGGACAAAAGGGAATGGGAAAAATTGTTTTGCAAGGCTGAACGACAGGGGGGAGCTGGCCATCAGGGATGACGGCTGTGTCTCGGTGTGGAGTAATGAGGTGGCGGAGAATGTGCCAACCGGCGATTATGTGCTGGTCATGCAGCAAAATGGGAATGCTGTTATTTATGGGCCTGAGGTTTGGTCCACTGCGGAGCCCGGGCTTATAGAAATGCCCACAGCCTGAGGAGATACTTCGTCTGGTTGATGTATGTATGGACAAGGATTTGGATGAGCACAAAAAGATTTTTCTTTGGTTGCTCATTCGAGCCCTTGTCCGCATCCATCAGCTGTGGAATAAACAAGACTTTCGAGTATGTCTTGGAAGGCGCATGTATGCCTCTGTATTAGTAAGAGTTAAATAAATGAACAAGGTCGAGGGCCTTTTCTGTTTTATGTGATTATTATTTAGTTTTTTTTAAGATACTTATAGTATAGATGATGATTATATATTAGAAATGAGTCGGCACAAATTTAAAAAGAAAAAATTCAACGAATTATAAGATAAAAGTATGATCAAGAATGACTTATTAGAAAAAACAAGAACCACATTTGAAAAAGACCAAAGGATCCCGTTGACTAGTTACGACTCCCTCAAAATAGGATTTGGGTTGACCGAACAAATGTCATATGAGTAAAAAATCTAGACCTATCAAACCAAGGGAAGTAGCTAACCCAACTCTCATCTAGATATTATCAGAAGGCTTGCAGAAGCCTTCAAGGCTCTTCAAAAGTCCTAAGGATCACCTCACCATACATTCATCGAGCCTTCCAAATGGATCTTTTGTCAAAAGGGGCAAGCTACCTATCAGATTACATAAATTTACTCTCTATCTGATCTTATAATTCACATTCTAGCACCTCAAATTCAAATTGGAGAAACCATCCTAGTGTTAATTGCAATAATTAACAAAATTTAGGTCAAAGTAATTCGTTTTGAAGTAAACTATGTTGGCATCAATTTTTGATGTCACGAGTGTAGGGTGTCCACTTGCACGGCTTAAGATAATCTATGGTTCGCCCGCAGCATCCGTTGGCTCGAGGCACTCACCCGGGACCTTTTGGCGCGTGTTAAGGGGCACGTAGCCAGGTTCATCCTGCTAGGCTATGGCTTTCGCTTAGGTGAAGGCCGGTCGACATTTGGCACGTCAAACGACTCCGATCGGGGTGAAAAATATTATGTGGCGCGTCGCGCGCGATTTTGGCTCACAGATGACCCCGGATGTTGAAACGGACCCCACTAGTGTGTCCGGAATGTCGATTTCGCTTACGGAGGACGTCCACTTTGCTATGGTTTTGCGGGCGGGTTTAAAATGTCCAAATTATCATTTTGGGCACGATAGTCGAAAAAGTGGTGCAAACGACCCCGTACGATGAAACGGACCGCGCCAACGCGTCCGGAACATCGATTTTAGCCAAGAAGGATGTTCACTTCGCTGCAAAGACGTGCACGGGAGAAGAATAGGCGAACTATAATTATAATGATATAATTATTATTATTATTATATAATATATTATTATATATATAATAAAAAAAAAACCTATCGCTATCTCTCCTACCCCTCTCCCAATCGCAAGCCTTCGCAGCTGCACCCTCCTTCGCGAAAACCCTAGCGTTGCTCCCCTTCCTCGGCCGAGGACGACGCCGGAGAACTCACCGGAGCTGCTGGCGGCGTCCCCCTCGCCGGCGAACGTCGCACCCCTCTCTCATCTCTCGCTCTCGCGAACGGAAACCCATACGCCGAGCTTCTCGCCTCCGCTGGAGTTCTCCTCCTCGCCGGCGAAGCCTTACGCCGCAAGCCCGCACTCCGGTGGCCCTTTCAGCCGACCTCTGCCTCCCTCGTCGGTCGCAGGCTCTCATTTCCCCTCCTGCTCGCCGTCGGAGCTCGCCGCCGTCGGATCTCCTCTTCTCAAGCCGTCCGCCGGTCTCCTCCAACGCCGGCAACCAGATCCGGCCGACCTCAGCTCCTTCCTGAGCGGAGACCCGGCTTTCGCACCTCCTTCTTCTTCGAGTCCGGTCGAGCCTCCTCCTTCTCGTCGGCATGTCTCGCCGGCTTAACTCCCAACGCCGCGGCGCCCGCTGGACCTTCCTCGCCGAGATTTTCAGCCGCCGAGCCTTATTTCCAGCAGTCGGCCACCCCATTTTTTGGGCTTCTCCTCCTTTCGGCCGGCCACTTTCCGACCTCTTCACCTCGCCGTCAACATCCGACCGGTCTTCTTCTTCATCGGCGCGGAGCTTGTGACGAGGCAGCCTTGCTACCACGTGCAGCCCCGAATTTTGCACTCCTCCGCATATTCGATATTTTTATTGTGTGCCGCTGGCGAGGTAGCTCCTCCACCTCGTCGGTTCTCATTCCCCGGTGGTCGGAACTTCGCCGGAGTGTCCTACCGTCGACGGACAACAACGGTACATCACCTTGGGGAGGCGTGGACGTCCTGTTCCGTTGCGTGGAAAACTTCTCCTCTTTCACCGGCGTCGAGCAACCCTTCTCACAAAGGTACTTTTTGGTCATATTTTTATATGCCAAATGTATTTATTTTTCATACTTTGCATACCTCACTGACTCTTGCCCTCACGACCTCCTATGTCTTTTTGTTGTCTTGTGCACGTTTTACGAGGCACATTGGAGCATGAATCGGACGCCGGCAAGCTTGGAGCGAGCAAAGAAACGCGTCTGCAACCGTCACGGGGGTGAGACTTT